GATGCAAGTTCAGACTGCGACTCCGACACGCATCCTCTTTCAGTGACAGCCTTTTGTTGCTTAATAAGATCATTCCTCTCCTCTTAGCGGCCTTGTCCCAAAAAACTCCTGGCCCTCACTGTCCCCAGGATAAGCGAGTGACTGATGCAGGATGAGAAGAGAGAAGCCCACACGGCACGCTGAGCCTGGACAAGGACCCAAAGCCGGGAGGAGAGGCTGGAGCGCAGCTCAGGGATGTCCTTCCTGGGCCCTCGGGCTCACAGGAGGTCTCGATACAAGAGGAGCTGTGACATAGTGGACCAGAGCACAGGACGGGCATCAGGTCAGCCCAGGGTCAAACCCTCGTCCCACCGTTTTCTCTCTCGATTTCTCCCAGCCTTCCTCTCTATTCTGTAAAAGGGGGACAACATCTGAACCTGCCTTGAGGGTGGCGGCAAGATGAAGCATTGCTGGCTGCTGGCGGAGGATGGTATGCTCTCCCAAAACGTGTGTCACCGTGAAGACGGTGCCTGGGTGGCTGCAAGGACCAGCCTCGCCGGAGGGAGCCGAGGCAGAGGAGGCCGCCCAGCCAGGACGCTGACAAAGCCAAGACTGCAGAGCTGGCCCGGCCCACGCCCCTGACACAGACCCAGGGGCAGGGCACAGAGGGAGGCAGGGCGGCCGGACGCAAGGCGACGTCGCAGAGGAGCCAGGTCATTTATTTGAAAGTGCAAAGTGTCTTCTAGGGGGACGGCCTTTCATTTGGGTGAATCTGGGCGTTGTTTATCAGCTTAAACTTATTATCTGCACATACGGCCTCCGTGCTACGGCTAAGGGTGGAAGGGAGAGGATGCGTGAGCACCAGCTGATGAAATCTCGTCCCTTACGTGCCAGAAAGCAGGATATTTTCAGTGACGTCAAACTGGGCTTCCTGCCACGGGGACGGGTGATCAAGAGAACACGTATAAGACCGTAACTCAGGAGCCCCTCACCGGGGCAGGGAAAGGAAGACAAAAAAACCAAAAGGGCAGTTCATTTTATTTACCCTTGCCTTTCATCCCAAATGCCAGGACACACACACACACACACACACACACACACACGCACGGTGCCCCAGAATATCGGAGCTGGAAAGGATGGAAGTTGATCCCTCCCATTTCACAGTGACAGTAATAATAATAACGACATTGATGGTAGTGAATATTTGCGGAGCATTTACCACCTGCCGGGCCTGGCGTTTACCTCGCTGACTATTCACAACCAACTGATGGGGCATTATTAGTCCCATTTTACAGATCAGGAAACTGAGGCGCCAGAGGCCGAGTGGCCTAAGATCACGCAGCTAGTAAGTAGGAGAAAGCCAACACTCGAACCCATGCAGCCTAAGCACCACACGATGCTGCCTGGAGAGAAATAAGGAAACTGAGGCTCAGAGAGGGGTGGGGATTCACTGAGGTCACACAGCTCCACTGGGAACAGAATCAGGGCTAGAACCCATGTCCCCCAACCCCTGGGCCAGCGCCCACTCCAGCCCGTTGCCTCTCAGTACAGACACAACGCACACGACCAGGGAACATGTTTTTGCTCATCTCCGGGTCGTTTCATTCACTAATTAACCAGCCGTGTTGGGCTCAGACAAGGTGCAAGGCTTGGATCTTAAGAAAACAAGGGCTGAAATGAAAGACCTGCTCTGCCAGCTGCAAACACTGGGGGCTCAGCATCTCACGCTCTCTTTAAAAAGCGCTTCATTCTCTGCCTGCCTCTCCCGACACAGACCGGAGCGCTGACACGGGGCCAGGGTGCCAGCCCGCGAGGCAGGAGGAGCCCAGGCTGGTGGCTTTGCTCCAGGGCAGGGAGCTGCGAAATAACAACCAGCCGATTCGGGAGACCCGAGCGGGGTTTCCAAGGCCGCCTCCCTTTGCTGTATCCCAGCCGAGCACGAACAAATGTTCCTGATTTTCTTTCCCAGCGGCTGATGAAACAGCCCGGGAGAGCAGCCTTCTGCAAGAGGGGTCCCTCAAAGGGACAGCCCAGCCACCATTTGCCCTTCCCGGGGACGGGGAGAGACTGAGGGCTGGACAGGCAGACGGAGAAAGCCTGCCATGTGCCAGCTGGCAGACAGATCTGGGGCTCCCAGCAGGAACCGGTCCCCCACATCACCTTCTGTACCCCAGAACCGCCATCTGATGGTTTGCTGTGGGGGACGGGGCAGGGCCGGACAGCCCAGAGAGGGGCCCCCCGGAGGCAGAGCAGGGCGGCCTAGCACCCTAAAAGGTTAGACCCTCCTGACTTTAAGTTCCAAGGCCCCTCAGAATCTTCCGGGCCAACACCCCGGTTTGACAGACCAGGAAAGCGGATTCAAGAAGGGAAGTGACTCGCCAAGGCCACACTGACGGACTGGATCTCCAATCTGCTGTTTCCTCCCGCCCCAACCTCCTCCCACAAAACCCTGGTAATCCTTTGCCCCGACACCTCCTCCCCAGCCTGTCCCTGAGCACCCTACCCCCCCGTCCCACCCCCCACCCCCCAGACCATGAAAACCTCATTCAGGAACTCAGGGAGCTAATTCCAGGCTGTTGTGGGTTTTTTACAGGAGGAGGGGGAATTTCCTGGATCAACCCACAGTGTCCTAACCCCAACTCCTGATGGACTTCTGCTTCTAGAAAGCGGCCTGGAAGTCTCATCGAGAGACTGCCCTTTCGGCCTGGAGCTGGGAAAAGACGCCCCGACGATCGGTTGTGTGAATGGATTTGGGGACAGTGGGGAAACAAGCAGACGGAGTGTTCACCATGTGAAATGTTGCTGAATCAGAGATCCTGGAGCTCGCCTGGGAGCAGTCTGAGGCCACACACACACACGAAACGCCAAGTCCAAACAGGGCCATCAGCAGCCCTCAGGGCCTGGATCTCCTCTTCTCTTCTGGGCAGGTTGGTGTGGGTGGGGGGCAGAGCAGAGGGGTCCCACACAGGAGCTGCCAGCCCTCTGGGGGCCCCGTGCCCACACCCAGGTTCCAAGGGCCGGGCTGTTCCGGGCAGGCTTCCCTCCGCACAAAAACAAGAGTCACTCAAAACAAAACAAAACAAAAAACTCCTTTTGTTTTCTGGCCCCGTGGAATGTGTTGAAGACATATCCAGAGACACGAGTTCCTCCACCCTTTCCTCTCCCCTCCTCCTCTTCTATTCAAAATAAAAATCCTGCCGGCCTTTCTTTACGGCAACTTTTGTCCAGGAGCATTCTGATAGCATCCAACAAAAACATTTGGTGGGCTGCGTTGAAAGCAAGCAGCTCAGCTCTCTTTCAGGGACCACCTCGTCTCCATCACCTTTGCAGGGGACTGGGGATGCAGGAGGGGGCTGCCCAAGGAGCACCCGTGGCCAAAAGAAAGAGGAAAACTTCCCTGCGCTATGAGGCCGCTCACATCCTGTGATTTGCTCGTTTGCAAAGGGTGTGGGGAGGAGGGAGGGAATTAGAGAAAGAGGAGGCAACGGTCCCCTCAGTGTCCCTTCAATGTCGCGCAGCCCCACTGTGACAATGATGCTCCTCATAGACGCCAGCAGCCGTCGGCACAGACACACAGACGCCCCGAGGTCAGGCAACAGGGCGCACAGCAGGTTTCCACCAGTAACTGTGAAATGACCAGATGGCTGTGGCCTGTGGACCCCAGACCCGGGGCAAGGGGGTCTTGTTGACTGCTGAGAAATTTACCATTTGAGCCTGCGACGCTAAAGTCTTCAAGGGGGCCCCATCGCCCCACCCGGTGCCTCCCAGTTCACTTGCACCCAGAGAGAAGATGGATAAGAAGGGATACGCCCCAAGATCCCCGTCCCGCCCACCCCAGGTATCGACCTGGCCAGATCCACGGAACAAAGGTGCAACTTTTACAAAAAGGGTGCACCCCGCGGTTTGGGTTCCAGACTCCAAAGGAACCTCAGAAAGTTAATTCTCCCATGCACCCACTCCACACCAATTCGCCCTTAATGTAAAGACTCTCGTTTTTGTCTGTCTGGGGGTGAAATTCTCACGCACCCAAGCCCCCTGCCAGCCCCCCAGACGAACCGCCTCCCGCGAGCCGAGCTCTCCAGCGCGCTGCGCGGGGACCCCGGGGGGACCCCACCTCACAGCCGGACGCTGTCCCCGAGCCCGGGGCCGGCGGGGCCCCTCAGGCGGGCGCCCCTGCGTGGGGAGGGGTGGGGCTCCGGGGCCGCGGGTCCCGGGTTTCGCGGCGTTTGTCTCGCAGGAACCAGGACTCGCCTTCCTGTCGGTGAGAGGGCCGGGGAGGGGCGCCCCCTGGCGGCAGCCGACTACCTCGATCCAGCCGGGACCCCAAATCCGCGCGAGCCCACCGCGGCCGGCCGGCCCTCCCCGCGGACTCCCACTGCACCCCCTAAATCTGGACGTGCCCGAGGGTCGGACCCACCGAGCACCCCACGGAGTCTCCGTTTCCCCCAACCGCGCACACCGCGCACGGAATAAGGGGGGGGGGGGCCCGGAGCAAAGCGCGGCGCCCCCGCCCCGCCCGCTGCCTGGGACCCCGAAGGCTGCCGGCGCTCGGTGCCCCCGCTGGGCCCCGCCATCCTCTGGGCCCGGATCCCCGCTCGGAACCCCGAGTCCCTACCTGCCCTCCTAGAGAGCGGAGTGGCGCGCACCCCTCCCTCCGCTCGCAGCCCTCGCCGAGCCCCCGAACCTGGCCGCCACACCTGCCAGCCCCCCTCCCGCCAGTGTGCCGGCGGCCCCCACTCACCACCCAGGGCGCAGACCTGCGCTGCACCTGTGCGCTAGGAAGCCCCCAGCCCTCTGCCGATTCCGGGCCGGGATCGGGGGCGAGCACGTCCCCTCGGCCCCTCCCCACGCTAGTTTAAGTAGAACTTAGCTCCGGGGCTTCCCCGGGCCGGTCCTGAGATGCCCCCATTCCACCTCTCCTCCCCACCGTGCTCAGCAGTCGCCCGGAGCGAGCGCGCGCGCGGGGTCCCCAAGTCCCGGGGGCGCAGCGGCGGGGCGCACGGAGGTGCGGAGCCCCCTACCTTCCAGCGGCAGCGGCCGGACCCCGTGCCAACTCCCGCCGGCGGCCGCGGGGGAAACTTTCCCCGGGCGAGGGGCGTGCTCGCTCGCAACTTGCCCGGCGCCCGCTGCCTTCCCGGCGGTGGCGGCCGCGGCGTGTCCGGGGTGCGGCGGGCCCGGGGCGGCGGCGGCAGCGGGGCTCGCTCGGGGCCGGGGCCGGGACTCGGCTGTGGATCGCTCGGCGCTGCGTCCGCCCCGCAGCCTGGAGCCCCCGAGACGCCGGCGGCAGCTGCACCGCCCGCCCGCCGGCCCCACCTCCCGCCGCCGCGCCGGCCCTTCCCCCGCGCCCCCGCCCCTCCCCGCGCCGCCGCCCCCTCGGGCTCCTGCCGCCGCCGCCGCTGCCGTGGCGGCCGCCGGGAAGGCACGGTCCTCCGGTCAGCTGCCCTCGCCTCCTCCCGGCTCGGCCTCCGCCTTCAGTCCAGCATCCAGGCCGCGCTAGGGGTCCCTGGGGTCACCTCTGCCCTTCTCCCCTCCCTTCGCCCCCTGCCCGCCTCCCCGCTCTGCTCGCGGGCCGTGCATCCTCTGAATTCAGAAGCTCCATTGGGAAGTGGGGAGAGGGCTGGACCCAGAGGATTTATTCCGGGGAAACTTTCACGCTACCCAAACCCCCCCCCCCCCACACACACACACACCCCGCCGCATCCCCGTGGCCAGCTGCGGGGCTGGAGGGGCGGTGGTCCTCCATCCGGACCTCGCTGCTCGGCCCTGGCAGTACCTGTTGCAAGCCAGGGCCCTTCCCCCGCCCTGGGCTGCTTCACGTGTTGCAGATATTAGAGGCAGAGGGGGGAGGCAGACCCCAGACCCCATGCAAATGACTTGATCGCAAGGGGCCAGGGCTGTGTGGCCAACCCCAGGACTCACCTTTTCCTCTTTGCCCTACTGTCGCAGCCGCACACCCCTCTCCAGCCCGGCTCGCGACGGCCCTGAGACTTTAACCTCTGAGCCTCCTCTGTGAGGCCGCTGCCCAGCCCCCTGTCCCAGAGGACATGAGGAAGGACCAGATCAAAGCCGACAGCCCAAGGGAAGGCACCGGCTAGCCCCAAGATGCGCGGGGCTGGGCTGCCCACTCCTCTTCCCTGGGCAACTGAGTTCCAGTTCTGAAGCTCCCGCACCCGGTGCCTGCCGGCCCTGGACTTTGGAACACACACAAGCTCTGCAGGAGGCCCCTGGGTCCACTGATTTGCACTAAGGAGTGAGTGACTGATAGGAGCTGAACCTGCTCCAGGCTTGGATGTGAATGTTGGTCATGTCAGGCCACAGGGCAGGGTTTCCAGGGCCAGGAAGCCGCTGGTTTTCCTTGCCCACATTCCAGGAAAACAATAGTGTCCCTCCAAGGACTTCGAGGATGTCTGGCCCTTCGGCCATTTCCCTGAGTCACCAAGTAAATCGAGGAGAGGCTAACAGAGCAGAAGTGTGTGTGGCTGTGAGAAAAAAAACCGGGCCGCAGTGTTTGAGTGGAGCCAGAGTGAGCAGTGCTTAACCCAAGGGGAGAAAACCTCTAACAGTGCAATTTCTGTAAAACATGGACAAAGAAAACTCTAGAGGGCTTCAGCCTCCACATGCCCCCTCCCCAGCTGCCAAAACAGGGTCTGGGGGGAAGGCTGACCCTTGGCACTGAGAAACCCCACAGGCTCTGCGTTTATGGAATGCTGCTGGGAGAGGCCGTCTGTGTGGGCCTCCTCGGAGGCAAGGCGCCACTTAAATTTAAAGAGGAAAAAAGCGTGCGCCCATGGCGAGGGTGCTGGGGCCTGGGGGGTGGAGGCCGGAGCCAGCGCAGAGGATGGAGGGGGTTTCCGAGGGTGGGGAGGATTGGTAGAAACAGGCAGGAGGGGGTAGGGGGAGCGTGCAGGGAGCTGAGGGCAGAGCAGGACAGCTGGACGGCTCAGCCACCCAGCCAGGACGAGAGCTTCGCATCCAGCGTCCGGGCAGAGTTTCCCAGACCTCAGCCATGCGCCCGCCTCCATGGAGGATCTCTCGGTGCCCCAGAAAGGGCCATTTGCTTAATAGCTTTCTTTAAATCAACGCTTGTTATTTTTTTTTTAACTTAAATGTGCTTATTTTTGCAAAGAAATGTTATATCATTACCATAAATGGAAAACCAGCACCATGCGACTATAAATAGAAGGCAATAAATACAATGAAAATAAAACAGTGTTATTAAATTCTAGCAATGTATATTTAACCACAATAAAAACATTCTAACGAGGTCCTGCCGCCTGAGTTAGGGCCCAGCGAGGCCCCCTTCTCTCTTGAAAAGGGAGGTGACAAGGGCTGGAAACGTGTTAAAGACGCATTAACACCAAAGTGAGACTGAGCTGTGACGGAAGGCTTGGAAGGGAACCGGAAAGGTCGTCCCACCCCGTCTCTGTCTAGGGGAGGCCCGCGGATGAATGACCTTAAATCTCGTGAAGCTGTGTCCCCCGCAATTGGGAAACGCCACTCGGAGGGAAGGAGGCAAAAAGTAGTTTTTGGCAAAAGTTAGGAACCCCAAGAGTTTAGTCCTGGCCAAGGGAGGGCGACCCGGGTTGCAGAGTGCCAGCCTCCCTCTCGCAGGGTTAGCTGGGGCCTTAGTCCCCTCCCTGGCCTCGCGTCTCCACCTGCACAATGAGGGGCTGGGCGAGTGGCCTCCAGGATCCCTTTTGCCGTTCTTGATAAAAGCAAGAAAGGAACCAAGATGGTGGCTTGTCAGGAAACTGAGAAGGAGAGATGCTGGGAGGGGGGTGGGCAGGAATGAGGGTCAGGAAGCAAAGGTGCTGTTAAGGCCACTGCTGACCCATTGGGCTCTAGGTTGTCATAAACCCAGAGGTGGCCCGGCCCAGAAGGTTCCAGATCCCCCACATGCCCATTCTGGAGGGAACCTTATGGCAAATTCATTGTCATCAACCACCTCATTTTACAGATGGGGATACTGAGGTAGAACGATGGACTAGATGCTAGTCAAGGTGGGAAAGCTGGGCCTCGAATGAGACCTCCTGTCTCCTGGGTGGGGGCCCTTTCAACTCCCCAGGCGTTTGGGGGTCTAGTAGAAATGGTTCCTTTGAAAATTCTCTCTTCTCCCTCAGGGGCTCTAAGACTTCGTTTTCTCTGGCGTTTGGAAGAAACGTTGAATTTTCCAGTCGTGCCAATGCTGGGCAGCCCAGGCGCTGTGCCCCAGTCCCTGGACACAGGACCCCTGGGGCGAGCATCCACACACAGGCATCCTGGGGGCACTAATGCAGAGCAGAGAGCCCCAGACCAGGAGCCCACAGGCCCGAGTTCCGGTCCTGGCGATCTGGACGCTACCCTTGGCTCTCCGGGCCTCCATGTTCCTATCTGTAAAAGGAGACGTCTGAGCAAGTCAGCGGGTGTCAACCTGGGCTGGCGGTTCCTGCTCCTTCCTAGGTCCCTAAGGACCATGGGAGACGGAGGGAAACCTCCCTCCCAGCTTTGACCAGAAGCAGGGGCCCTTTTCCTCTGCTTTGTGTGATGGTGTCTCACATAAGATTTCAAGGAGAGACTGTCCTTCACTTAAAAAGAACTTGAAATCACTGGAAGTGATGACCTCTTGCTCCTAACATTCATAAATTTGTGGCTGATCAGACTGTGAGCTCTCAAGGCCTGGGGCCCTGCATTGTCCATTTCTGGGTCCCTGGGATCTGCAGAGTCAGCACTCGGGCATGTTGGAGGCCTCTGCCTAACTGGGCCCCCTCGAGCCAGCCGCTTAAACTCTCTGAGCCCCAGCTGATGCATTCCTCAAACGGGACTCAGAACCACACCTCTGGCACTGGGGGGCTGTCAGAGTCTTGGGAAGGCCTCAGCGCAGCCCCTGTGCTGAACAGATGCTCCGTAAAGGCGAGCCTGTGTGTGCACGGACGGCAGGAGGATGCTGGGCCGGCCAGATCTCTCCCCAGAAGGCGTCTCGACCTCACAACCCAGCTTTTCCAAGGCAGTCTGCATTTTAAATATTTAATCATTGCCTCTCTGATTTTTTCTGAATTGTCTCTTTTCATCTGTAATTTGCAATCATTTCCCAAAAAATGACAGTTCATTAAATGTACAACGGAGTGTGATCAAATCTGTTTATCTTCACAATGATTTTCACGGAAATAAATTTGCAAATCCTAGGAACGTCCGTGGGAGGTTTGAAGAATCTGGTCTTGACCCTGCCGGGCCTGGACCAGTTGCACGGTTCCCCCTCTTTCTCTCTTTTTCTCCCTCCAAAGAGATACCCAGAGGCCACAGCCAGCCTCTGAGTGTTTTCAGCACCAGGCCCGAGGCCCCCTCCCCCGGCAGGAATGCCGCAGGCCGGGAGCTGGAAGCCGGGGTGGTGCTCGCTGCCCCCACCCTTGGCAGGCAAAGAGGTGGATTCTGGATGGCTGTGCTGCGCCGGGAGGGCCCAGGGCAGCTTCCTCTGGGTGCCCGCAGCCTGGCTTTCCAGAAAGCAGCGCCCTGGGAATAAATCCCGCCAGAAAAGAGACCCCTGACCCTTCATCGTCCACCTCTGTTTTCTTACTAACTGGTAGTAAATAACACAGTACTACTAACTACCTTTCCTGGAGTGCTTGTCGGGCAGAAGCTCAGATGTGAGGTTAGAGAAGCCCACATTCAAAGCTCCTTTGTTCATCAGCTGTGTGGCTTTGGGCAAGTTACTTGGCCTCTCTGTGCTTTAGACTCCTAATCATTAACATGAGGAAGGCAGACTGTGTGCCAGGCACTGGGATGAGCCCTTAGAGTGCCAGCTCACATAAGCCTCCAAGGAGCTCATCTGGGAGGGATGGCCAGAGCCTGTTTTACAGAGAGAGAAACTCCGAGAGACCTGCCCAAAGGCACCCAGCACACAAAGAACTGAGGTCCACATCTTTCTCTCATGTCCATCAGGACCACACGCTCACGAGAGAGGGAGAAAGGGATGGACGGGAGGATGTCAGGAGACCGCGGCCATCCTGACGCTGAACTTTCGGGCTGTGTGGTCTTGGCCAAGTGGCCTGACTTCTCTGTGCCTCCCTTGTCTTCTGTGAAGGGAGAGGATAGCACCTAGCCCAGGGGGCAGTTGTTGTAAACATTGAAGGAGACGACGTTGGCAAAGGGGCTTTGAAAACCATGTAAGAAATGTAAGTCTTTTTTAAGGTCCTCTTTATGGTCTACGTGGAGCTGCTGAGATTACGAGTTGGGACCTCAGGGTCCCCGGGTACCGTTCAGTCACGCAGCAAATGTTTGTGAAGGTGAGTTGTGGGCCGGGAACTGGCTCTGGCTCTGGACCCCCCAACCGGAGTGGAGGCCA